CCCCCCCCCCCCGCAATTTAAATATTTATATAATGAATGTCAATAAGCAATGGTTTACTTGAAATAAATGACTTTAAAAGCTTTCTGAGATTTATTTTATAAACATTTGTTTGTGTGTGTGTGTTTTACTAGGGTTCCTGAGTACAGGTGACCAGGCAGCCAAAGGGAATTATGGGCTGTTGGACCAGATCCAAGCACTCCGGTGGATCAAAGAGAATATCCAGGCTTTCAAAGGCGACCCGAAAAGGGTGACTATATTTGGATCAGGAGCTGGGGCATCCTGTGTAAGCTTGCTGACCCTGTCACACTATTCAGAAGGTAAAACTCATTTTGTAATAGACAGTTTGACGTAGAACAGTTTTATGAGACCATTGTTTGGGAGCCCATTTTCGAACAAAATGGATAATTGTGAGATAAAATAAGAAATGTAGTCACATTGTGAGATATGTAAAGTTGCAGTTGTAAAATATGAAGTTGCAATTGTGACATATGTTATAATAAATTGCAATTACAAGATATAAAGTCAATGATAAGAAAGTCAGTCACTATTGTGAGGTATAAAATAGTGTGAGACAGTCATAATTACAATTGCAATTAAGAGATATCTCGGAATTCAGAAAACTAACGTCCCAGTTGTTGGCTATAAAGTCACAATTCTGAGACATTAAGACTGTTTTCAACCTAGCTCGTTTGGAGCATTTGTTTCGGAACCTGGTGCGTTTTTCCCTTAATTTGTTTAATTTAGGCATACATGAAAATTACATTTGAATTCATAATCAATACGCCCCCTTTTTTTATCTGAAAATACCATCTAATTGCTCTTTGCGAAACAGGTGCAATGAAGCACTGCTGTAAGCCTGCTAAGCTGTTGTCCCGCTATGAGACCAGTTGCATTTGAACAAAATGTGACTTGAATTAATACATTTTGGTCCATTTACAAATGCCGCCCTGTATATATATCAAGCGTAGCGTTGGTTCTGGCAGGTCACGTTAGTCAAGCTCGCATCAGCTGACTCTCAGCTGATCCCCATCAACCTAAACCATACCGCCAATCCAAACTGTATGCTAATTGTCAATCATCTTTGACGATAGTGGTCCTGACAGAAATATATATATATATATATATATGAAGAGTTCAGATGCAAAAGCCTTTAAATGTCATTTGAAATTTTCTTCTACAATGAGCATTTTTCTCAGGCTCCTAAGTGTAAGTTCAGTAATTTCACTTTAATGGAAATGAATAGGTTCATTTCATTGCCATTAAAGTGAAATAACTGAACATAAACATAGGAGCCTGAGAAAAATGCTCATTTTAGAATAAAATTTCAAATGGCACTTAGAGGCTTTTGCATCTGAACTCTTCATATATACCCTAATTAATTGCAATCATGATAACTTAAACTGTGATTATGCTCTCTTTATATATATATATATATATATGAAGAGTTCAGATGCAAAAGCCTTTAAATGTCATTTGAAATTTTCTTCTACAATGAGCATTTTTCTCAGGCTCCTAAGTGTAAGTTCAGTAATTTCACTTTAATGGAAATGAATAGGTTCATTTCATTGCCATTAAAGTGAAATAACTGAACATAAACATAGGAGCCTGATAAAAATGCTCATTTTAGAATAAAATTTCAAATGGCACTTAGAGGCTTTTGCATCTGAACTCTTCATATATACCCTAATTAATTGCAATCATGATAACTTAAACTGTGATTATGCTCTCTTTTGTCTTTACAGAATCCAGCTTCCAAACCATTACTTAATTACTTATTTAATTTACAACAAATAACACAATCCCCTATTTTCTCTGTGCTGATATATTGAAAGATCTTCTAAGAACAAAAAGACCTTTGTCCCTGTGTGCCTGGCTGCATGCAATTTTCATTGCAACAACAACCCCTACAAGGCATTCATCTGGAACTCAATTGCCCCACTATAAAATATAGATTTTACATTCAATGTCCAGCCTGGCTAGATAGCAGACAAAATCTAGTAATGGATCAAATGACCTCTGGCTACAGTTACTCTAACACTAACACTAACACAACCCCAAATAAGGAAGTGCCATATTTGATCAAAATAACAGGACAAGATGTAGTTCCCTTCTGGTGTTCCTGTCTGAAAGGTCGGCCATGATTTAGAATGAATTACATAATGTAAATTGTAAAATAAGCAGGAAGGCATTTCATTTCACCTGTTACCTCTACTGTTCACCTGAGCCTTTTGTCTTCAGATGCTTGTCAGGTGCTCTAAAAAGTATAACATTAGAAAACCATTAGTAAGAATACCATTATTAAGATGATGATGAATTACTGGTTAATTTTAATTTATTTAATTTAATTAATTCAAACGAACTTATTTATCAGTGATAATTAATTAAACCAATCATACATTATTTAGGATATGAAATCATTTTCAAAAAAAACAAAAAAAAATCTGTATTTCCTGTTTTTATTCATGTCATATTGTTCAGATCCCACATGCACAGTTCAATGTGCCTGGCAAAGCCATCATGCATCTGGGTTTGATTAGGACTTCCTTTAACCTAGTTTAAAACATATTATGAGTAATCAGTCTTTGATTTATGGGTAGAGTCTGCTAAGCCCCATTGTCTGGGCATTGACATTGATATTTTTTTAATGGCCAATACATTAAAAAGGTCTTGGCAGTAGTGCCTTCTCCACATTTTTGATATTTTAAATCTGAGTGAAGGCTATTTTTCAGCCTGAAGCCTCGGTTCAGCCTAGTGCAGGGGTAGGCAAGTTCGGTCCTAGAGAGCCGCAGTCCTGCAGAGTTCAGCTCCAACCCTGAAAAAAAAACTCAACTGCCTATAGCCTTAGTAATCCTGAAGACATTGAATAGCTTGTTCAGGTGTGTTTGATTAGGGTTGGAGCTGAACTCTGCAGGACTGCGGCTCTCTAGGACCGAACTTGCCTACCCCTGGCCTAGTGAGATCCATGCCCTGAGGTATTGCTATTTTCTATGACACAATCTGTGTCAACTTGTTATGGCCACGCCTGGCTGAGCTGACAAAGGTACAGCATCAATGCATATGCATATTAGTTGGCGTCTTTGTCAGGCAATGACTGATATTACTTACCCATATAACAGTAAGCAGGGACAAAAGACCCTAGGCTTCATTATAAAGCATTCTTATTCTACATGCTCTTTCATTTTCGAGTCCGTTTTGATGAGGTCCAACCAAAGTCTTCAATGAGACATTGTAATATACATTATGAAATAAACAAGCACCTTGTTTTTTGTTTCTTCATTATTGCTGTGCTCATTATTTTCCCTCAGTTCTCACTTTGATTAGTGTTAAATGGATAGTTCACTTCATCACTGACTTGCTCACATGTTGTTCCAAACCAATAAAACTTCATCTTGAATGAAGGTATTTTTTAATGAAACCTGAGAGATTTCTGTTCCTCCACTGAACATTCAGTCACCTAAAACATGGATGCTTCATAAAGTTTATAAAGAGATTGCAAAAGTAATCCATATGAATCAAGCGGCTTACACAAAGTCTTCTGAAGAGGCACGATCCATTCATATGATGAATAGATTTAATTTAGGCTCTTATTCACATATAAGCATTGATCAACACTCATGCATAGAGCACATCAAATTTGGTTAATGGAAGCTCAGTCGTACTTTCTTGACAAGCAAGCACAAACCTCAATGGTTCTTGTGGAAGCTTAAATGTGTTTGCGTGACACGTGACACACATCAAACAATTTTCATTGTTGGGTGAAAAAAATCCTTTAATATGAATAAATGCTTTTATTTTATTTTCAGATTTGTTTCAGAAAGCCATAATCCAGAGTGGGACTGCTTTGTCAAGCTGGGCTGTCAACTACCAGCCAGCCAAATACACCCGCATACTAGCTGAGAAGGTGGGCTGCAATATGCTAGATACTGTAGATCTGGTGGAATGTCTACAGAACAAAAACTACAAGGAGCTGATTGAACAGTACATCACACAGGCCAAGTACCACATTGCATTTGGTCCAGTTATCGATGGTGACGTCATCCCTGATGACCCCCAAATTCTGATGGAACAGGGAGAGTTTCTCAACTATGACATCATGCTGGGCGTCAACCAGGGTGAGGGTTTTAAATTTGTGGATGGCATCGTGGACAGTGAGGATGGTGTCTCTGCAAACGACTTTGACTTTGCTGTGTCTGATTTTGTGGACCACCTCTATGGTTATCCAGAGGGCAAAGACACGCTTCGAGAAACCATCAAGTTCATGTATACGGACTGGGCTGACAAGGAGAACCCGGAGACCAGGCGAAAGACTCTAGTTGCACTCTTTACTGATCACCAATGGGTGGCGCCAGCGGTAGCGACGGCGGACCTTCATGCTCAGTACGGATCTCCAACATATTTTTATGCTTTCTACCACCACTGTCAGAGCGAAATGAAACCTAGCTGGTCGGATTCAGCACATGGAGACGAGGTGCCTTATGTGTTTGGAATTCCCATGATTGGGCCCACTGATCTCTTTAACTGTAATTTCTCCAAGAACGACGTCATGCTTTCGGCGGTGGTAATGACTTACTGGACGAATTTCGCAAAAACTGGGTAAGTTGAAGCCTTTTATTTGTTCTGTTAATTGATCATGCACAATGGATTCAGTATCACATACCTGTGAATAATTATTTGAACACTTTTTCACTTGTTATCATGGTTAGTGACATGACACTCATTTTATTTATCAGTTTCTTAAAAGAAAATCCTTAAATATGCAGTTTAGTGTTACAATTATTTGAATACAGCTCTTCTGTGATGATAATGCTTTTTAATTTTGTGTCATAAAAACAAAATAAAATATGGGTGTATTATGGATGCTATAGCTGTCCTGAAATAAGGCTATGGATGAAAAATGCTGCCCTACCTCCCAAAATTATTAATAAGTCATAATTATATATGTAGTAAATGTTGCATTGAACGAATGAATTAATTAATATACTTTTGATCAAAAAAAGAGTATTGTACAATCACATATATTCATTCAAAGTGTAAAGAAAATATTGCTTTTTAACTAGTCATTACATCACATGACATTTTGTTTTTTTTTGTTCACATTTTTTTCGTGATCTTGGACATTTGTCATTGACCCATTAAGCAACACTGAAATGTTTCTTTACCTGCTTATTTTAATGTAAACTACATCCTTTCAGATGTCCATTAAGACTCCTTGAGATTAAAATTCTTATTCTATAAAGAATGGTTGTGTTCAACTGCCTCAGACCACACAATGTGGAACATCACTTTCTATTTAGGGAACTTGTCCTAAATGAGTCATGGTTTTGCTGAAAGAACCTTCAGTGGCCTCTGCTGTCTCCTCACATATCACAATTTCAAGACTCAACATCGTCAGTAAGATAGGCCTATTCTTTTAAAGGTCACATATTTTACACCTTTCTGGAGTTTTATTTTAAGTCTTGATGTCCTTAAGAATATATATTTGCAGTATAAGTACCAAAAACCATCTCAATATATTTTTACAGCTCCTCTCTCATGAGCTCTGCAAAGAACAGGTCGATTTTGGCCTGTCAAATTAATATTATATGTATATAATTAATACACATGAGCCTCTCATCTGATTGGCCTCTTGTTTTCTGAGTGACGCACGGCCAGGCCAACCACAGGTAACTAGGGCCATGTATGCTGTAGCCTGCTGTGGATTGGTGATGCTCACAAGTAAGGTCAATAGAAACACCGGTAATGATGGTCACTGCTGAGGGAAATGTTGCACGGCCTTACATGTTTGAGCCAAACTCAGACCCCGAATCGGCAAAGACAGGAGACAACCAACCACCTCCTCAAACGCGCATACAACAGGATGTTTTAGAATGGTAATTCATGTTTTGTTTTTTGGGTTTTTTTTCAAATACTGAATGCAGTAAATATTAACTGATTCATGAAAAATCGAAAAAACGGTTCGTGAAAAATCACAGCTACTTTATGCAGGCTTTGTGCATTTGACTGGATTGACTGTTTTGAAACTTACATGGTAGTTACATAGCACCTAGACCTCAGTTATCATGAAAAAAGCCAGGAAATTTCAGTTTTGACAACATGGGACCTTTAATGGTATCGGACCAGCTCTTAACTAGCCTCTTGAGTTATGGGGTTCTCTCCATCCTTTTCTCCATACAGCATCACTGCACTCAGGGCAAGCCCAATTCATCCCGAACCTACTTCAAATATACTTTCAAGGCTCCATTCGCCGTTTATAGGCAGAACATACACTGCTGTTTGGCACCACTCCAGGTGATACCTGTGTGTCAGGAGTTAGATTGGCAGGCTCATCAGTACCTCACGTCAGGCTGCTCTCCCTCCGCTGGCTAAGTCTTTCTCTCAGCATGAGTACTTTAAAACAGAGGAGGAAAAGCAATTTCAGCAGCACTTGGAGAATGCTCACTTTACAAGAGAGTCACTCCAGCCTGTGGTAAACAATCCAGTGGTGATATCAGCCTCTCTGAGTATTTCCACAAAAACAGGGCAAATAAATAACATGGAGGGAAATGTGCAGAATGTAATGTCTCATTTTAGCCTTCCTTTGTTGCAACGGCTGTCAAGCTTGGGTGCTTAGACTGGAGAGAGCAAGACATGGGTCATTAATGCTATGACTGAGGAAAATTAACGTACACTGGTGTTCTGGATGTCAAGTGTCAACATTGGCTTTGTGGATTTTATGGGTCAGGTATATTATGCACACACATTTTTATTATACATCAGCAGCAGACCTGAGATAAAAACCTGAAATGGATAGATGAAATTTGTGGGATTCACTATCACATTGTTCCAATCCGTTATTACTTTACTTCTTCTGTGAAAAGTCCAAAACTACATTGAACCCTATTGAATTTGTATACAGAGAGAGAGAGAGAGAGAGAGTTTTCCCATTAATATATAATTTTGTGTTCTAAAGAAAGTCATACATACATGTTTGGTACACTGGTGTTCTGGATGTCAAGTGTCAACATTGGCTTTGTGGATTTTATGGGTCAGGTATATTATGCACACACATTTTTATTATACATCAGCAGCAGACCTGAGATAAAAACCTGAAATGGATAGATGAAATTTGTGGGATTCACTATCACATTGTTCCAATCCGTTATTACTTTACTTCTTCTGTGAAAAGTCCAAAACTACATTGAACCCTATTGAATTTGTATACAGAGAGAGAGAGAGAGAGAGAGAGAGAGAGAGAGAGAGAGAGTTTTCCCATTAATATATCATTTTGTGTTCTAAAGAAAGTCATACATACATGTTTGCAACAACCTGAGGATAAATTCTGATGACATAATTTAGATGTATGCCAGTTAAGTTTTCAAGGAATCACAGCTTATTTTTGTTATACATAGGTTAATATTTACAATTAACTTCTGAAAAATACACTACATAACCACTGTTTACATAATTTAACCTCTATTTTGGATAAATACAGTTCTAAACAGCAGCACTACTGAGAAAACTCATTTACCAAACATTTTAGAAAAAAAAAAAAATGTTAATAACATTTAAAAGTAACAACTGACATCTCATCCCTGTATGTTGTAAAAAATGATTTGCAGTACAGTAAATACTTTACAAATGACATAAAACTCATACAAACCTTTATTTCACCAAATAAATAAACCATTTTGGTGGCACTGAGAACTGCTCTCTCCTAAAGATGATGCAAAAAGCCTGTGCTTTGTAAGTCAACAACTGGGTTTTAGTAATGCCGCTTCTGGAAGGTATTTGGGGGATGTATTGTTTCAACTGTCAATTCATTTAAACCAACCACTCTGGGTAATACTGGGAAAAATGCTAAACAAATAAATAAATAAACAAAAAACCTTGCATGTTTTAGAGTGAAACCTTAGCAGAGGTCTATCACTCTCTGGAGGCAGAATACTTCTTCTGTGTGTTTTAGAGGAGTAATAAGATTAGTATGCCCACTTTAGTAATATCACCTTGTTGTGGTACGAACTGAATGAGGTGATGTAAACGACTCTTTTTGTGAAACTTCCTGCTTGAATGCTTGTGCACTGTAGTTGTTTATTGTTACTGCATAACTTTACAAGCCCTGAAATATTGTCGATACTGTGCATTACATTATAAATTATGATAATGGCTCTACACAGATATTAGTTCCTGGAAGCATGAGAAAATGTGAAGAAATGACTATTCCCAGTTATATTTTGCACACACCATTAAATGGATCTTTAAGTAAATGCATTTCTGCATCATGGAATCACACCGTTTGCCAAATTCTGGCTGGGAGAGTCAAATCCGTTAATGAAAGTGAAAATCGATATGGATTTCAGCCATTACAGAAGTATACTCACTGACTGAAATGAAGCATAACATTCCCTGATGATGCTGTCTAAGGATATGGTGGATTTAACCATGGAAAAGGCTTTTGTAATTCAAAAGAAAGTACCATTGCCTACAGTGTGAACAATCTGAATATGAACCTGTGGTGACTGTATACTTCAGGCAATAATTAAATAATATGAGTGCTGTTTTACTGAATATCAGCATGGCTGTGATTTGGTTATAGGCACGAGGCCATGCAGATTGTTCAGTGTCACTGAGAAATGCACAGACTTGCAGCTTGTCTGGAATGTTGCAAGCACAGACAAATGGAGTAATTCAAACAGTGAAGTGTCACAGTGATACACCAAACTGTTCAGAACTGTTGGTGGGCCGCATGTTCAACTGTTGTAGAACTGTGACCTGTTCCAACATTTTAAATGGGCTGAATTAAAAAAAACAAAAAAACATGCAGATTGTTCATTGTCACTGAGAAATGCACAGACTGTTAGCTTGTCTGGAATGTTGCAAGCACAGACAAATGGAGTAATTCAAACAGTGAAGTGTCACAGTAATACACCAAACTGTTCAGAACTGTTGGTGGGCCGCATGTTCAACTGTTGTAGAACTGTGACCTGTTCCAACATTTTAAATGGGCTGAATAAAAAAAAAAAAAAAACATTCTACAGTTCTTTTTGGTGATACAGTTATGTTCTAAACTGCTAAAACATACAAATGTAACCCGATTTTAAATGTTTTGCAACCCACTGATGGGTCAGTTATGGACAAACCCATCCATGGGTTATTCTAACATAGCATTTTGAATATAATTTAACTCAACAAAGTGGTAGGGTGACCATACGTCCTCTTTTCCCCGGACATGTCCTCATTTTGGACCTAAAAAAATGTGTCCGGGATTTGGCTGTTTTTTTTTATCTCGCTCCCGCTGAATCTCTGACCATTGACGCTTGCTCCCGCAATATATTTCGCTCCTGTGATTTTCATGTCCACTCCTTTATACATTCTAATATTGTCATAGGCGGAGTGTTTGTAAAGCCCCGTTCAAGGCTGGGGAAGGCTTAAGCCCCGTTCACACTGCCAGCGACACACAGCGACAAAGTGACATGCTCCCATTCATTTTCAATGGAGAGATGGCGACTTCCGGCGACACGAGCGACAGTGACCGTTGGCGACAGAATGTGGACGTGCCAGCGATTCCACTGTTTTATATGATTTTACTGTAACCACATACATGGATATAAAAAACA